GTAGCAATTCTACAAGAAAAGAAGAAATTGTGAGGATACAAAAAGTTTTAACATATCTATTCTGAAGTAAGTCTCATCTATGTTGTTTGTTTTGGCATAAATTAGGGAAGAGTTACCGCCTTAAGCTACATCCTAAACCACTGGTTCTCAACCTCGGGTCCGCAGAACCCTGGGGGGCCACAATGTCATCGGGGGGGGGGGGTCTGCAGATTTGAAGAAATGCTGAGTTAAGGCTTGGTGGTCCATGGCCACAAAAGGTATTTAAAGGGGGTCTGTAGTGAAGAAAAGGTTGAGAACCACTGGCCTAACAATCACAAACTTCTTTCATGACTGCCACAAAAGCCCCTTCTCAAACCCACTGAAAGCTTCTGAAATCTGTGGTCTTAGTACATTTTAGCTAATTAAGCATTTTAGACTTCAAAAAGATTAATTTTATTTTAAAATACTACTGAGGTCGAAGTTCAGCAGGTTTTGTACTGCTGATCCATCGCTTATATATTCCTTTCAAGTCTTCCTGACTGTGATAATGCTACAGTTCCTTTGTTTGTAAATATATATATATATAATAATAATTAAGAATTTATAAAGAACATGCACTCACACACACCAATGTCCAAAATACAGTCATCAATTTTCAAGCTATCAGATGGAAAGAAACATTTTCTCTTGCTCTGAAGGTCAAAATAACAACCTACCCGGTGCCCAGGGAGTGTCCCCAGAAGATGATTGTGCTATTTCCACTCCGTGCTTTTACCCAGTTGTAAAGGCAGAGAACATCTGTTGTAAAGCCTTTTTCACTAGGTTTACCAGTAGAGTCTGCGTAGCCTTGGAGAAACCATGAGGCAAATTAGACAGAAATATGCTGAACACCTAGAAATCAACTTTGCATTGAAACTTACCTCTGTAGTCCATAGTCAAGACATGGAAGCCACCATCACTCATTGCCTGTATTAAAAGTTAGAGAAATTTCAAACATAAATAACTTTCTAAAAGGGAGAAAGTCATATCTCAAAGTTAATTAGTCACAAAACCCTACCACTAAGACATAACGTCAACCTTCAAGGCAATCAGACTAGGAAGCCAGTGTCATGTAGGTCAGTACTAGTTTTTTGATAAAGTTATACAAATAATCCTCAACTTATGGCCACAAATGAGCCCAAAATTTCTGTTGCTAAAGAAGAATTTTGCCCCATTTTACTACCTTTTTGCCACAGTTCTTAAATTATTCACTGCGGTCGTTAAGTAACACAGTTAAGTAACACAGTTGTAAATTGAATTTGGCTTCCCTATTAACTTTGCTTGTCAGAAGGTTGCAAATGTGATCACATGACCCTGGGGCACTGCAGCTGTCATAAATAGGAATCAGTTGCCAAGCATCCGAATTTTGATCATGGGGATGCTGCCATGGTCTTTAAGTGTGAAAAACTGTCATAAATTACTTTTTTTGGTACCATTGTAACTTCAACTGGTCACTAAATGGACTGTTGCAAGTCAAGGATTACCTGTAGCAACAGAATCTTGAAGTCTGAATGTGCTTCCCTCCTCCCTCCCTTTCTCTTTATGAGAATGAGGAAGGGTCTTCCCAGAGACATTTACTCAGGTTACATTCCAACCCACTTGTGTTCCTTTGATCTGACCACTGCCTTGGCAACAGCTCTTCTTCCTGTTCCTCAAGGCCATTCCTACTGTCATCTATACATACAGTAATTCAGTTGGGTTGGGCTAGGTAGGATTGGAATTGTCCACCCAGCTATTTAGAAGAAAGCTTGTGGTTTACAACTATGTAAACCAGCGGTCCCCAACCTTTGATGTAGTGAGCTGAGGATGGGATGAAGGCAATGAGGATATGCCATACAAAAATAGTTACCAGGACATATTTGTGCTGCGATTTAGGGCAACAGAAGGATGAGCCCCATGTAAGCTACAGTCTATAAACCACTTCTAACAGATTTGCATCAGTAGCCATATCATAGCTGGACAATCCAGACATCTGTTGCGTTCTTAGTGTTCTCTGCTGATGTTGTTTTCCTGCAGATGGTAGCAAGTTGGGTAACATTATCAGTATAAGGGGGAGTGGAGTTTGCTGGTTATTTATATACAGCAGCTTGCCTTGCTAGTCTTGGCTTGTTTAGATGTTGGTTGCTAAAGAGGATGTGTTCTGGGCTATTAGTTTTCATCCCTGATTTTTTATTCTACCTTTTAAATGTATGTAGATGGAGTTTAGCCATATGTGTTAGCTGATGGCTGATCTGTTAGAATGTATTTATTTAAATAATTTGTATAGCTACCCATCTCATAGGCAGTGACTCTGAATAGCAGACAGAGGATTAAACTAAAAGAAACAGTAACATGCAAAATAATGGACCCAAATACTGATAAAAGCAATAGTAATGATAATAATAATAAGACATAGCCCAGGTCTAAACACATCCCATTTTCTATCAATAAATAAACAAATCCAGCACAACACCATGCTTTCAGAAATGTGTTCTGTCAATTCTTTTACCTGTCTGTTCTACATAGTGGCTGTTATAATTTTTACAATGTATGTTGTAAATGACTTCCGTTTCTTCTTCTTTGGTTAATGGGTCTTTGGGTTTGCTTAAGATGTTTCAGAAGGTTTTCTTTTATTTTCTTTGTAAACCGACAAGTAATAGTTGTCTGCTGGCTGTCTCAGAGATGTTTCTGATATAGGGCAGTTATACTTTTCATCGTTAAGTATCCCTGAACATCAATGAGCAGTCTAAAGAAAGTTCATCTTCTCCTCTGACTGCCCATTGAACGTTCTTGGATGTTTAAAATGAAAAGGATATCTCTCCCAATACACAGTCAATTTCAAACTGGGAAACTGTTGAAAATTTACTTCAAGCCATACCCAAAAATTCTAGGGAATCCAATTTATTATAATTATTTTAAATTTATTATTGCTGTCAATTCCATAGACTCTAGACAACTTACAAATACAAAGACTAAAAATCATTAAAAACATTTAACATCATAGGCAGCCCAGATTAAAACAATCAAATAATTCAGACAACCACTAGATGACACTAAAGAGACAAGGATTTCTGCACCTCTTTGCTGCCACCTACTGGCCAATGTCATATGGGAGGACTAGGCATTGAAATGCTCTACACAGCATTGGATATGCTCAAATGAGTATTTGTAATAGAAAGAAGAACAGATTTTTGAGGAGATTATAACATGTTAATGTCATGCAGTTCAAAAATAGTAATAAAAGTATCTGTATCTGCAGATTAAACAACAGGAAGATCAAGGTATATAATTTGTTTAACTGCTAATAATAAGAACCTCAGTCCTAGGGAGTGAAAAGGAATGCACAGAACAGGTAGATAAAATGGAAGTGGTTTCAAACAGCATTGGGATATCAAGAGAAGTATTATTTCTACCCATAAGGCTGGCACATTCACTAATAAACTAGTCAATCCCAGAATAAAAAGACAAGCATAGGCATGGCTCTGTGAAAACAAAGGCACTACAGCCCAAGCAGAAACTTTACTAATCACAGATTCTTTAATACATACCTTTATGAAATTAACTCGGTGACTTGTTGCCCTGGAAGAGAGTTCAGAAATTAGCCACCACAGAATACCTAAAGAAGAAGGACACTGTAGCTGCCCACTTCACTACTTCTAGAAGCATCTGGTTAACGGTTATGGTCATGAGGAAACTGGTCTAGGTGGGTATTTGGCTTGATTCAGCAACCAAGCTCTTTGGATGTTCTTTGATAGTCTTCCACCAATAGGGTGCCCTCCAGCTGTCTTGGCTTCCAGTATAGCCATTCAACCTAACAAATATGGGAATGAAGGTGTAATATAACTGGAGGGCATCAGACTGAGCAAGCTGTATTGATATCCTCAAAATATTTCTTGGTTTTATTTTAAAATTCTTATTTCATGAATGGTTCTTGAAGGGAAAAAGAGAAGAAATGTGTTATTTTGTTCCATGACAGGTATTTTAATGTAAAGATCTGAGTTAGAAAACCTTGCATTGATGATGTTCCCTAGGCTGTTCTAAAAAAAAAACTGAAAGAAGAAAATCAAGCTCCAACAACAAGACAAGAACTAATAAAATGTAGACAACAGCTGGAATTGGTGAAAGGACAACTATAGATGGTACTGATTGACTGGCATCTGTAATGTCATCGACCTATTTCTCCCCATATCTATACAATGGTTTTTGAATTATTTTTTACTTCAATTTTCAATGTTGTTTAGTTATAAGGGAAAGGAAGAATGCGTATATGAACAAGCATTCCCAGCTGTTTCAAAAGAACAAATCCAGTGGAGGAGAATGAAATAATGGGAACTCAACTCTAAAGTTTGCAATAGAAAGAGAATCTTCTACAACTCCCCTTTAAATTCTCCTTTGTCTTCTCTTGGATGCAAGCTATGGAGTTTCTCTACTTTCTATTTCCAGTTGGAAAATTTGAACTGATATTCTTGTCACTAAACATGCATTTAAGTAATATTAAAGAATATCATAAATAAAACACAGTAATTAAACAATTGAAAGAAGCCATTAAAAGGACTAATGAAAATTGCAGACTTTTACAAAAAAGAACTAAATCCGCAAAACAAATCCAGACTGACTATTTGCAAAAATGAGCAGGTGTTATGAGCACCTTTGCTAAGACAGACAAGGTTTTTTTGTTTGCCAACATAGATTATGAAAACCTGTCCAAGATGAAGGATGACAAACCACCCCTTTCCTCTTTTTTTTTTTTTTAAATGTCAATCAGACTCCTGCTTATGCAAAAAGAGGCCTCTGGGTATTCACACCTTGCTGGGTGAGAAACCGGATGTGTTTCCCAGACTGTAGCTAACTTGTGCATGCATTCTTGCAAAAGAAGTTGGAACAATGCTTGGAGAGGGAGAGGTTTTTGCTCAGTCCTCCTCCAGACAATAAAAGCCCTGATGAGCACAATTTCTGCTTCTTCTGAATGACTGTAAATGCCAAATCCTGGCTGTCACTATTCCCAGGATAATAATTTAAAATGCAAAAGGAACCAAATAGATTATTAGTCTTGCAGAAGACCTCAGATTTCACAAGACCTTTGCCACTGAAATCACTGCTCAACTCCTCCAAAGCTTTTCTTGCTTAATCCTAGGGAAAATACAAATGCTGAAAGAAAAGGAACAGTATATTGAATATTATATGGAAGCAGGGAGATTCTGGGGAGGGAAGGATGGGACCTTCCTATCTGTTTTCTTCACTAGAACCAGGCCTTAATCTTTCCTACACCATTCCAGCCATGTACCTTTGCCAGTTTTCCTGCCTCTGTACTCCTGTGTTCCACCAGATGCTGAAATTCTTGCTACTTCATATGTTTCCACAGAGTGGTACTGAGTTCTTGCTTTTAATTATGACTATGCTGCGAAGGGAAGCCCCAATGCTTCCAAATCAATGAACACGTGGGCCATTTCAGCATCATGTCACAGACACTCTTGCAAAATGGAGGTTATGGTGGTGGCCCATAAAATATTCACTATCAGCAGACAAATAGATAAAATAGCTGTCCATTACCTTCTCAACTACCTCTGGCTTTTCACTAAGTACAGAAATCCACTTCTAAATAGGGCTCTGGGCTATAGCCCTCAATTTGTTTACTTTCTAATAACATCTCTCTATATATATCTCAGAAACTTTCTTGGAAAGAAAGATTATACCTGAGATTGGCTCTATGCTCTACAGCAGGGGTCTTCAGACTTGGCCCTTTTATGACTTGTGGACTTCAACTCCCAGAATTCCTCAGCCAGGCAATTCTGGGAGTTGAAGTCCACAAGTCATAAAAGGACCAGGTTTGAAGACCCCTGCTCTACAGAATGCTGGGTTTCCATCAAACTATTTCAGGGATCTTAATCTATTGTTTGGTATCTTCCAGAGGTCACAAACAAGCAACTAAATTTCATTTTTAATGTGTGCCATTGTGCCCACAGTAAAAAATGACAATAAATGTTATCTAGCTATCTAGCTAGCTAACTAGCTATCAAAAAGGTCAAAATGTTTTTTTTTCCCCAACCTGGTTCCAAGCACATGAAGACTAAACCCCAGAATTTGGATAGTTATTCCAAATTCTTTCTAGGCTAGGGTGTAGTCTTCATGTGGAAGCTACAATGGACAATTGCCATATCATAAAGTTTGAGACATCCTACAATATAGATTAAAATGGCATATTTATTTCTTGAACAACTCTAGCACTAATATAATTCTTAATAAAATTATTCTTTAAATAAATAAATTAATGAAATTATTAGCATTAGTCACGGGGGAGTCATATTGCTGACCTCCGGGGGGAAATGGAAAAAGAAAATAGTTCCACTAAAAGTAGAGCCAACAACTGCAATGGAATTAAAGCCAATGAGCAGATGGGCTCTTTGAAATTCTTCTCTGAACAAGAAAAGGACTTGGGATCACTCACAAGTGTTCCAGAGAATTGTTCCTCACAAGGAGACTGCAAGATAGCAGTCTTCAGGGGATTTAGTTCTCTAGTCTAAGAGATAAAGGAATGCCATCTCCACCTAAACCATGGTTGGAGTGTTTATGGACAAAGGATTCACCTACTTTTTTTTCCTAATCACTTTTAGAAATTGCTTGTTGATTGCTTTTCAGATATTAGGAACCTATAGATTGGCAGGTAGTTTTCCTTCAATTCTTAGTGAAAGAAGTCTCAAATACAAGGACTTTAAAAAATCATTTTTTGCAAAAAGGTAATTTTAGAAATGCACTAAGGATCCAGATGGATTTGAAATAACATTTGAAATTAATTACAAGAATTGTTCCCATTCAAAACAACAAATGCTGTTTGATAGGATGGAACAAAGAAAAAATGAAAAGAAATTATATTCTAGGATATTATTTGAAGGGATTAGAAAACAAGATTGTCAAAAGTAAAAGGAAGGAATATAAAGTTAGCTTATTTGATCAAGGTTAAAATAGATAGGTTATATCTTGTAACCCTTAATGGTCTTTTGTTGACCACAACTGAACAACTTTAAGGATCCATTTATAGATAAGAGATATGGAAAAAAGAGATTGTTCACTACATTTTAAGAGAAAGTGATAAGTAACTAAATTGTTTATACTTGTCATCAGAGAGGAAGTATTTCTTCATATATCAACGGTGATTAGGTTAAATACCTTAACAAACGGCAATAAACATAGAGAGGAGAGGTGTGAAGGGGAGGGGAGACAACAGCGCTGTGTATTAGAACAGCCTAGAGGGAGCAGAAAAGAAAACAAGGCTAATAGACAAGAGAGGAAATTGGAAGACATGATTACACAAAAAAGAAGGGGAGTAGAGGCTTTACCCGCGCT